CTCTGGGCTGATCTAAGTCAGGGCATGGCTATCTCACAGATTGAACCATGAAACAACCTCTGGGCTGATCTAAGTCAGGGCATGGCTAACTCACATATTGAATTGGAATTTAGCTTACTAACTACTTCTGGCAACATTAACTAAATATTTTTTTACTTTTGCTCCAACAGTTGGCACACCTTATTATATGTCACCGGAGAGAATCCATGAGAATGGGTACAATTTTAAATCAGATATCTGGTCACTTGGCTGCCTGCTGTACGAGGTAAAAATAATGCATAAACATGTACTGCATATATGCTGTCATTCCATGTATTGCTGGCTTTCAATTATTAGCTGATAAAAGAATTTGAATCTCATTATGTGCTCCAAATGGTGGTGAAACACTACAGACAACCTTGTGCTGTCAACCAGAAAGAAATTCTTTTGAAAACTAGCAATTCAGCTTAATATGTACATTCTGCACAAAAAAAGTCAAGTGAAACACAGCAATATAAATTCTGTATCTAGTTAAATGCAAGATTGACTTTCTCTTGACCATTAAATTTTGTCAACCATAAAGTAGCATCTTTCCTTTAAAAACTGTTTTCCGCAAAATGACTGGGTGATGATGGACTGTTGATAGAGTAATTATGGGATGTTGGACAACCATGGCCAACATTTGGTCGGCAGAGTATATGGAGCACTATTCTTGCATTTTACCCTCTAGTTTATTATTAATATTAATAAGAATTGGAAATGCTAATATTGATTTGAAACTTTGACAGATGGCAGCTCTACAGTCTCCATTCTATGGTGATAAAATGAATTTGTACTCACTATGTAAGAAAATTGAACAATGTGACTACCCTCCCCTCCCTTCTGAACATTATTCACAAGAGGTGAGTTTATAGTATTTAGTTTTTTAGTTCTACTCACCCCACCACACCCATATATCAGCAGCCTGACTGACTGACCCACTGACTGACCCACTGACTGACCCACTGACTGACCCACTGACTGACCCAATGACTGACCCACCGACTGACCCACCGACTGACCCACCGACTGACCCACCGACTGACCCACCGACTGACTCACCGACTGACTCACCGACTGACCCACCGACTGACCCACCGACTGACCCACCGACTGACCCACCGACTGACCCACCGACTGACCCACCAACTGATCCACCGACTGACCCACCGACTGACCCACTGACTGACCCACTGACTGACCCACCGACTGACCCACCGATTGACCCAATGACTGACCCAATGACTGCCCACCCACTGACTGACTGAGCCACCGACCAACTGACTGACTGACTGACTGACTGACTTACAGAAAGATAAATAACTTGCTTATTAAAATTTGGACTGGCTAACAAAATGAATTATCCTTTTTTGTTTCAGCTGCGTGACCTTGTAAGCTTGTGCATAAATCCAGACCCTGATCAAAGACCTGATGTGGTCTACGTAAACGAAGTAGCACAGAAAATGCACACCGTTCATTTACATTAATGACAAAATAATATTGTAAGGAATAGTGGGAATGGGTTAGCAATGACTTTTGAAATATGGACTAAGATTTTAATTAGAATTATGGCCGCACCATCACACTTTGAATTTTTTTTTTTTCTTTTTTTTCTCCAGGTTATTACTTCCTGAACTTTCTACTTTTTCAAACCCTGTAAAATAAAGCACTGAGTTAGTGTGACCAAAATAAATTTTATTTTCAATTTGATTGGATTGTCATCAAAAGATTATTTACATTGTGCTTTTTTAAAAAGTGACAATAAACTCAAAGTGTTTAGAGTTCAAGTGTCCTCACTGTGACACTAGTCATCCAAATTCAATGATCTTTTATGATCAAGGAATTCCAAACAATGGCCACAAATTTGTCAAAGCAAGGACATAATATTGACAGGAATCATAAATTAAAACCAAGACATTTAAAAAAAGATCTACAAAAATAATAACTGTGTTATCCCAAAGGCATGAAGATCAACTGTTACATAAATTGTTTGTAAACAATAGGTTATGCACTCAATTGCAAAATCACTGTCATGTTCAAAACCTAGTACATAGAAGCTGAGAATGAAATGTTACACAGGAAGTATGTTAATTGCTATCTTAGTTTCTAGCAATGATTTTTCAACACTCAAGTTTCGAGTTCTCTTTGCTCAGCCTTAGTCTCGGTTGTGTGTTATAATATTTAGCCATTCAACCAAAACCCTGTGGCATTTTAATCAACTTGTATTGTTACGTAGTTCATACATTGCTTACTATACAATGTGCCTTAATAAAAGAAAAGAAAGCATTTGTACACAACCGAGGCTAAGACTGTGCAAAAGAACTCGAAATGGGGGTATTGAGTGCAAAACAGTTTTAGAGTCTAATAGCTCAGTATGGTCCCGGGGGGTGGGGGGACTCTGGGAAAAAAGTACCAGGGATGCTCATTGGAAATGTTCAAAAAGACCCCTAAAAGATACCGGAAGTCTTTAAAAAAGGGGCATGACTGAATGATTTTTAACCCCTAAGAGATACCACAACAAATTCAATTCTCACAAATTCAAACAATTCTCTCCTTTTCTGACACCCTAAGAGATACCGGAAAATGCTGATTTTCAAAAATTCACACTTGGCACCCTAAAAGATGCCAAATCACAAATTTTTACCCCTAAGAGATACGACGAGCATCCCCGGTACTTTTTTCCTGGAGTTCCCCCCCACCAGGAGTATGAAACACTTTTAACATTTCATTTAATTAGTATTCTTAGTGTTTCTGCATGTTCATGCTTAATGATATCAATAAGCAAAGTGTTTAACTCTTAATTATAAGCTGTAAAGAGGATTCAATGCAATTTCAAATTTTCTTATTCTGGCTTCTAGTGGGTAATTTTAAAACGCTGCTCTTGACTAGTAGGAATAGTTTCTTCCTGAATTATTCCATTTTTTCAGTAAATAATCCTTGTAAATACCTAACTTATAGAATGATTATGATTATTGTCTAACTACTCAGCTCTTGCAACAGAAACGAGAAAAAAGCATTGCCCTCATTAGCCATTAGCAAGAAGGCATAATTTTTAACAAAGACTAAAAGTGCATCATGGTCTAAATTGGTACAAACATCTTTGGTTAGGTCCACTGTACCCAAGCTAGACCAGAATGCACCTTCGTAGTTGCACTTGGAATAGGCAATACTTGCTCTTCTAGTTTGTAAATTAATAAACTGTCCTAAATCAGTATTATACCTCGAAATGGAGGAGTTTTAATATATAATATGAGTATGAGCATTCTCTCTCAATCAAGAGTGAAATACACATATTTATTAATAATTATTGACTATTAATTTATTAGTATGGAAAGAGTATTTGATTTTAGTGAGTGTTGTATGTATCTAAAATATGTCAATGAAAATGTAAAACGTTTTATGTCAATGTCTCTTCTTTGTCTGTAAGGGAACATTGATTATCCAACCCCCTCCCCTCCCTCAGTCTCAAGATCCTGTTGGGGTACATTTTAGCAAGGGACATGGCCTTGAAACAGCAAAACAAGAGCCACCAACTAGCGACAAATGACATACTGCTCTCATAAATTACAAATAGCGAGGTCCTGTTAGGGGTAAAATCTGACAGCAACACAAGAACATTCCAAAATTGCAACATTCAGATGAAGGACTCACCCTCACCCCAATAGGGCCTCCCTCTGTTTCCTGCCCTCTCCATTGTTGCATTAAAAAACTGTCCCTCCATCATTGCTAACAATAATAATTCTGTTAACTAGTATTTTAAGGACCTGTTTTTTCATTGACTCCGTTTTCCACTCAAAGTGTTTTGTTTGCCCCCCCAATTCTCCCAATAAAAAATGATGGTACCTTGTGTACACCACTGACAGCCCTGCCTCCCTTAGGCTTAGATATTGGAAATATGAAATTGTTTGGGGGTCAAGAAAATAAAGATATTCATTTGCGGTTTTGGATATTCTGCAAACAAGGGAGCTGCAAGCTGAAGTTAATTTTTCTGTAGAAGTTAATTTTTAAAAATCGGTCATAAAAAAATTTAAGAAATGAAATGTCTAAGTTCATAGAATATTGAGAATTGCAGTAAGCCCTAAAGGGCCCTAAACCCTGAGAATGACCTTTTGGGTGGAGGGGGGAGGAGAAGGGGTTGTGATCTTACTCCCCACCCCCTCCCCCACAATACTAAAAGCTATCGTAACCGGACGTGACTACAGTCACGGTTTCTCCAGTGAGATAAATTTAAAACGTGTCTAGTCTGGATCTTTTCTTGGCTTTATTACCAACATTACTTCAATTTTGTAGCCTCCACTAACAATTTTATAGCTAGCACGTACCATTATGCTCTCCTCAAGGCCTATCCTCACTCTCCTTCGCAATACTACACGAAGAATCGCTCCAACAACACTTAGAACATTCCATATCGAACCCTGTCAGAAACTCAACTTCATCGATGGACAACGCGTTGATCCCTGCACACAGGAAGGCCCAGGGGAAATAATAATAACTGAACCCGCTACTGGACACGTTTTATGCGAAGCTAAAGGTTCAGGAAAGGAGGAGGTACATAGAGCAGTACAATCAGCTGCGACGGCGTTCAAAGGATGGTCTTCAATGAGTGGAAGTGAGAGAGGAAGGATTTTACACACGGCGTCACGCATTGTGAGGAGCAGAAAGGACCAGATAGCTACGTTAGAGGTTAAAGATAACGGTATGGAAATCTTAATGTTAGATTAATTGGATTAGATAGCAATGTTTTGTTTTTGGTTTTACATGTGTGGATCGACGTCAGCTGGCATGGATGCACCACAAATAAACCTGTGAAAAAGCACTTGAAGTCTTAAACAAGATAAATCCTGCAAAACTCTTCGCACTATTTAGCATTATTATGTTAGTACTTTTAACATAAGCTTATGTGCAAAGAAATTTTACAAGTTTTATATTAATTTAGTAGTAAAAAGCGTTGTGAATCCTGATTAGGATTACATCACATGAAGAGATATTCGGGGGGGGGGGGGGAGTACTGAATATTCTGTCTCACTACATGCTATGCCCTGGAGGTGGTACCCTACTGGGGGTCAAGAGTGACGTAATGCTAGTGCACTTGCCTCACTTCTGTGGTCTTGCATTCAATTTCTGGACTCAGCATCATAAGTGAGTAGAGTTTGTTGGGTCTCTCCCTTGATTCAGGGGTTCCTTGCTTGGGTTCTCTGGTTTTCCTCTCTCCGCGAAAACTGGCAAGCTAAATTCCAATTGGATCTATGAGTTAGCTGTGCCATGACGTGTTTCAGGGCTGGAGTGAAACCTCCATAATATACTTTTTAATAGGTAAACCGTACCATGAAGCATGCTGGGATATCGATAATGTTGCTGACGTCTTGGAATATTTCGCTGGTGTTGCACCTACACTGGGTGGTGAGCATATACAACTACAGAATGGATCTTTTGCTTACACAAGACGAGAAGCCTTAGGAGTCGTTGGAGGTTAGTGAAGAGCTTGATAAACTGCGATAGCATACTGTCTATCTATCTGACTGTCTGTCTGATTGACTGAATGACTGACATCTGAAGTGACTGTCTGACTGACTGTCTGAAGGACTAAACTGATTGTCTGAATGACTAAACTGACTGTATTTCTGAGTGACTGACTGACTGTCTCTCTGTCTGACTAAATGTCTGTCTGTCTGAGAATGATCAATGGGTAAATAGAAGGTTGAAGCAAAGAATGAGGATTCAACTGAATACCTTTGAGGAAAAACCCTTAAAGCAACTTCTTCTTAACAAACACACTCTCTCACTTATGTAACTGATATCTCTTTTCCAGCAATTGGAGCATGGAATTACCCCATCCAAATCGCATCATGGAAAGTTGGGCCGGCTCTTGCCTGTGGTAACACTGTAGTCTTCAAGCCATCGCCACTAACCCCCCTGTCAGCTGTTGTTCTTGCCGAGATCATAACTGAAGCTGGAGCTCCTGCTGGTGCTTTTAATGTCGTTCAAGGGGATGCATTTACTGGTCAGCTACTCTGTACTCATGAAAATGTCGCAAAGGTTTCTTTCACTGGATCAGTGGAGACGGGAAAAAGAGTAAGTTATGGGGTATCAGTGTTCCATGCTTTTTCTGAAAGGATCGGTGAGATATTCATAACAAAAACCCTTAATAGTCCCCTTTTCTCATTCAGATAACTACTAGTTTACAGTGTAGTCCACAAATTATGAAATGAAGAAATAATCAAAGAAACATAAAGTGTTTTAAGAATCCCAACTGGCAAGGAGGCAAGCCAGTTGGCTATTTACAAGCATGGTCGAGAAACTGAATTTGAACTAATCAGAAACCAGGACAAATACAGTCTCAGCTAGTGGCCACAGCGGGACTCGAACCCAGCACCACAAGATTGTGAGACCGATACTATGACCACTCGACCATGCTGCCTCCTCAAAGTGATGCCCAGGGGGGAAAGGCAAGTGTAGTGACTATCACTACTCCACCACGTGGGGTGGGGGGTACCCTCATATATGGACTATACGGGGATGATCCGCTGAACACGGTATGGTTTTTCGAGCTTCTTATCATAAACAGGGTATGCAATTTCACTCAAGTTCCAAGTTCTTCCTGAGTTCCCTGTCATATTTAGGGTTTCTACTTTCGTATTGATCGAAACTGGTTATTATGGTCGTAAAAAAATGATACACGAGATGACATGATAATTAAGACAGGAACTCAGTGCAATAAATTATATCTTTTCTCATAAACAGGGTCCACGAATTTGAGTTTTTTGTCATAAACAGGTACCCCTTTCAGAATCCCAGCGGAACACCCCTACCCAAATTCTGGTGGAGTACCCCCCCCCCCCCAGGTACTCCACCTTAGCAGCAAAACAATGACAAGTACCAAAGGTAGTTTTGAAGCGTGCAACAAGAAAAAAAAACCATCTTCATTTTTGTTTCTGTCTACCAGATAATGGCATCCTGTGCTGAGGGGGTAAAAGAAGTCACGTTAGAACTTGGTGGAAAATCCCCTCTTATAATATTTAGTGATGCTGACATTGAAAATGCAGTGAATGGTGCTTTGATGGCAAATTTCTTGAGCCAGGGACAGGTAAAGAGTTTTAATTTTATTCCATAAACTTCTGTCCCCATATACATTTGATTGGGAGTGACAGATTCTGATTTCAAAAGCGTACCCAGACCCTCCCCACCCCTTGGAATTTCCAATCTGCTTTCAAGGGGGAGGTATGGATATTTTCTTGAACCACACCTTCTCAGACCCTCCCCACCCCCTGGGAATTCCAATCTCCTTATACGATCTTTAGAATTTCCTGTAATCCTTCCACAGGTGTAGTCTCCTCACACCCTACCAAGCCTTTGGAAATTTCAATCCAATTCCATTCAGAAGATGTGAATATTTTCTGGAATTACATAACATACCTTTCCCATGACCCTATTGAGCCCTTCTACTTATTGTTTTATATTGTATTGTATTGTATTGTATTCGTAAACTTGTATCCAATAATTTTTCTAGGTTTGCTCCAATGGCACCCGTGTATTCGTTGAGGAGTCTATCAAAGATGCCTTCCTTCAACGTGTTGTAGATAGAACTAAAAAGATCCATGTTGGTAACCCAATGGACCCCAAGACACAGATGGGTGCCCTCATCTCTGGGAATCATCTCTTGAAGGTTCTGGAATATGTAAAGATTGGAAAGGATGAGGTACAGTAGCTAGAGGATGTGTAGGAAATGAAAGTGAGGTTGTTTTTGTTGTTGCTTGTTTTGGGGCAGATGAAGGAGGGAACTAATGGAAAGAAGGATGGAAGGAAAAATGGAAGGGAAGGAAGGAAGGAGAGTGGCAATGAATAAATGAAGGAAAAAAGAAAGAGAAAGGGAGGGAGGAAGGACAAAGGTAACAAATAAAAAGAAGGAAAGAATGAAAGAAGGATGGAAGGAAAGTAGGAAAGAGAGTGGGAATAAATAAAGGAAGAAAAAAAAAAGGAATAAAGAAAGGGAAGAGAAAAAAGAAGGAATGCAGGTATGGCATGGGTAGGTGGACAAGTGAATGAATGGGTGGGTGACTTGGTGGATGGGTAGGCAAGTAGGGTTGGGTGTGTAAGTTCATGAGTGGTTTAGTCAAATGAGTAGATGGATGATAGAGTATGTGAATGGGTAGATAATTGAACAAATGCTTCATTACTCCACAGGGAGCCCATGTACTATGTGGTGGTGAGCCACTAAAACTAAGTGACCCAAAGTTTAGTGGCGGGTTTTACATGTCGCCCTGTGTTATGGCCGAATGCACCGATGACATGACTGTAGTGAAAGAAGAGATCTTTGGTCCTGTTATGACTGTACTGTCATTCAATTCTGAGGAAGAAGTCATCGAACGAGCCAATAAAACCCACTTTGGCCTGGCTGGTGGAGTTTTCACAAAGTAAGCAAATATATATCTTTGAATGTCTTTTTTCAGTGGCAAACATAAAAGTTGTGGGTACATACTGTATGTACTCTCACCTCTAGGGTCTCAGGTTACATACATGCATACAGACAGACAGACAGACAGACAGACAGACAGACATACAAACAAACTCCAATTTCATGTGTGAGGTAGCCGTGCCATGATTTAGACCAGATGTAACCCAGATTGTTTCAGGGTGAATCTGTGAGTTAGCTATGCCTCACAAAGATCAGCACTGAAATTGTTTCAGAGTTCAACAAAATTAAGAACAATGTTTGACAGAGCTAACTTATTTGTTTCGTTATGTTCTTAGAGACTTGAATCGTGCACATCGAGTCGTTGCTAATCTTCAAGCTGGTAGTTGCTGGATCAACAACTTCAACCTGACACCTGCCGAGGTCCCTTTTGGTGGCTACAAGATGTCAGGAATTGGGCGTGAGGGAGGACGAGCCTCTATCGAATATTACACACAGCTTAAAACTGTCTACGTCGAAATGGGTGAAGTAGAAACCCCATTCCCCCTTTGAATAACTTAATCAAATATTTTATTTCAAAAAAAAATTTTTCAAGATAGCAATCCGTTTTTACGTAGGCAAAGTATTTTCCCATTTGAGACCATGATCCATTCCCTTCATCCGTATTGTGTAGTTCCAAAAATTATTCATACCCCCTTCAAGGAGGAATTTTTTTAAGACACCCCCCTACCCCCCAGAAATACCAATTTTCTTCCATACAAATTCTGTAATTTTTGTTCTTTCTCTGACCCGCCTACTCTTTGGAAATTCCAAATTCCTCTGTGGGGTGGGTATGGATGGTGGAACTACACATTGAAGTATCTCATAAGCCTTAACACTGAGGTAGTAAACAAAAATATAATGCTAAAGGGAGCATTCTCTTGAGAAGACGTTTCTTTGTTTTACTGAAGAAAAAATCATACTCAAGGGAATACTGAATCTTTAACCCCAAATAAAATTGATTGGAGCATAACGCGGGGTTTTGGTTATCTTGTAGTAGACTTTACTACAGGGAATCCATAATGAATGGATTTAAGGGAAACTGCTTGTACTGTAAACCTATGTATATTTAATAAATATATAGAAATAAATAATTGTAATATATCAAAATAGTCACCTTTTGAATGAATTACCTCAGATAAAACTAACGACACATTCGCATTCAACTGATAAAAAATATTGCAAATATGATGCTTATGGCCAAGATGCATGCTAGGAAGGATGAGGGCCATTTATTACTAGGGTACCTGTGCATTTATTTGTGGAAATACTTCAATTTTGAGTTTTTTTTTGCTCAGTCTTAGTCTCGGTCGCACGTTATAATATTCCGCTATTCAACCTAAACCTGTGGCATTCTAATCAACTTGTATTGTTACGTAGTACGTATATTCCTTACTATACAATGGACCATCATAAAAGAAAAGAACACATTGTCATGCTATATGTCATATGATACCATAGCATTGACTGAAACCCTATATCCATCTATCAGACTGTATGATACACATTCGTAGCCCGAATTGTTATACTCAAAATAAAGCCATATTTCGCAACCACCAAGGAACAGAAATCATTACATGGTGCCAGAAGTGAAAGGTAAAACATACATCGACATTCGGTAAGTGGTTAAATCAGATACCAAGACAGGAAATAAAAGAAAACAGCTAGCAGACCGCGTCAGTGATAGAACATCATGGCCGCAGGGTTCACGCCACCCGTTATGTACTGGCAAACCAGCGATATCAACGACGAATTCGCCAGATTCAAGCAATACTGTAATCTAATTTTCAATGACCCATTTGCAAAGAGGTCAGATAATGAAAAATCCTCGTACATCCTACTATGGATAGGCCGTCAAGGCGTAGATATCTATAATAGTTTCACTTGGGACAGCGAAGACGAGAAAACAAATCCCGAGGACATTTGGTCAAAATTTGAAAAACATTTAGCGCCGAGAACAAATTTCAGGCCAGCTAGGTACCAGCTACAGCAGATGAAGCAATCAAACGACGAGAATATTGATGATTTTATGACCAAATGTTGCAATCATGCCAACAAATGCAAATTTCGTGACCAGCTTGAAATAAACGAGCGCTTAATCGAGCAGCTTATCATAGGCACCAAATATCGAAAAGCACAAGAGCGTATACTAGAATATGGAGACGACCTTACATTAGATAAAGCCATAGATATAGCTAGAACATATGAAGCTACATTAGCGCATGTGGCCCAGCTCCAGAGTGATGATGACAAACATGTTCAAGCTGTCAGGAAATACGAGAATCGGCACAGGAAATGCGGAAATTGCGGAGGCGAACACGCGMCAAAGAAATGCCCCGCATATGGTTCGACTTGCAATTTCTGTTCAAGATTGAACCACTGGGCTAAAGTATGCCGTCAGAAAGGCAACCCTAGTGAATCAGAAAACCCAAGCGCTAGAAAAGAACAACCATACAAACAACGCAATAACAATAGGGAAGCACGCCAAGGCCGACGCGCTGTGCATGAAATGCAAACAGATGACGATTTCAATGAAGATTTCAATACCCTACATTTCCAATCGA